CATTGTCTCTGGGCCCCGCCGTGGCCCCGCCAGCCGCTGTGGCGGGAGCTGCGGGCCCCTGGCGGCTCTCTCGGCTCCCCCTCGGGTTCCCCCGGTTCGGGAAACCCCCCTGTGCACCGCGCTAGGGCGCTCCGCTGCGGATCCTGCCGGCGCCGGAGCTGCTCGCCTCAGCGACTAACTCTGGTCTTAAAAATATGGCTGCAAATACGTATGGAATAACCACTAGTCTCAGCACCGGCATAGAGCATTTCTAGTTTCAAAACAGTATATTTTGCATGCGATTGCTCCAGTTTTTAATGGGCCAAATTTAACTCTCATCTTTATATGCCAATTATTCTAGTCTTTGGCCTATCGTAGTTTATACAAATTTGACTGAATTGAAAAGAAAGCGTACCTGGATATCTTCATCAGTTGATGCATTCAATTTGTCTCTTGGTTGTGGAATGTGAGTAAACATGCTTTTGAAACTGCAGTACCTTTGGGTAGAAAATGGGATTGTGAAGAAATTAAAAATACTGGTAATATAATTTACACAAACATTTTGTGCTGTACCTTAAGGACATTTTTTACTTTCAAGATTGAATAGCTATTGCTCTACAAATGACTAAGTGAGAAGGAAGATGTTTTGAGTGTAGACTGGTGGGTAACTATCTTATCATTTGGGTAACTAAAATTTATTTTGTGAAGAGAGTCACAGTAAATACTTTATTAAACAATGACTTTCAATAAATTGTATGACATAAGTTTCTTCCACCACTAAGTGAGAAGTATTATCAAAATAATGACATGTTCATTTGTCCTCATGCCCTCTTGTCTGGTACTGTATGAAGCCAATGGCTTCAAAGCAATGTGGATGTTAAATGCTTAGAAATAAGAACAGAAATGTTTTTGCAGGATCTAGTGGAATCAATCACTTACTAACTTTAACAGCCTTTCCCCCTTTTTCACCTGTAGTGATTTTGCATGTCAAAGTGGCATCCACAACAATACTGGTAATAATACTTTATGACAGTAATAATACTTTATGACAATAATAATCAAATTATTTAAGTTTGTAGGTAGGAAGGTAGGCAATAGGAGGAATGTGTTTCATAGAAATCATAGAATCATAGAATCATTAAGGTTGGAAAAGACCTTTAAGATCATCGAGTCCAACCATCAACCCAACACCACCATGCCCACTAAACCATGAACCTAAGAGCCTCATCCACATGTCTTTTAAATACTTCCAGGGATGGGGACTCAACTACTTCCCCTGGGCAGCCTGTTCCAATGTTTAACCACTCTTTCAGTAAAGAAATAATACTATATCAATAGTTTCTACATCATGTTCATTTAAGGTTTCAAAAGGTTGATTTACCGTTTGAAAAGACAATATTGGAGCAGTGTCACTGAGATTGTTCCAAGTGCTATCAGAAATAAAATCACAAAAATAAAGTAATCTTTCCCTTGACCTGAAACATCCAAGAGAGAGAAATATCTTAGTGTGCCAAAAAGCTACCTTTGTGACAGTCAGTAATGAATGCAAATTTCACCCAATTTTTCAAATAATCTGAAGGACTTCAACTTGACTTCTTACAGAACCTTGTCAAAAAGTTCAGGTATGCATGATGCATTTTAAACCATTTCGAACATTTAAAATGTAGAGAATTAAAAAAAAAAATCCAGAAAAGGAGAAGGAGAAACAGTGTCACAGAATGAAAAATAGAGCAAAAGTTGTGGAACTGTAAAAAGAGTATTGAGGAAAGGGTGAAAAGGAAGATGTGGAAGGAAGAGGATGATATTCATGGCAAAAACTTAAAGAACTGAAAGCTAGCCTCAGCAGTCTGGTCTGAAGACAAGACCGGGTCTATCTCAGCCTGTTCCTGTAGCCCTGGCATCTGAGAAACTGCTGCCTTCACAATCCCAACTAATCACAGGCTGGTGTCAGCCTCCATTGCCAGAGAACTTAAGCATCCTCTCCACATTAATAATTTCCACCCAGTTCCTTCCATGCCACTGGGTAAGAATTAAGATTTTATTCATATCTGTTAGTGTGAGGGAGAAAGGGAAGAAAACATGGTAATACTGAAAAAAAACCCCAATATTAAAATACTATTTCACAATCTTACCAAACTCAATGGGTTCACTCCATTCCCCCCACTCTGAGCTTACAGGACAGTTTTTTCCACTTGCTCTGATTTTCAGAATGTATTTTTTTTCCTCATTGTAATTTTGGAATTCGTATCTGTTGTTCCTTACCTAAAATCAAAGCAATCAGACTGTGCATTTCACCCCATAGGCAAATACTAATAACATTTGGTGTTTAATTTCCTGATACAGTTTCTATAAAAATCTAATTTGTATGATTTGGTAAGTATGTAGTAGTTAAATATTCTTCTCCCCAAATTTAAAACTGTGATAAATTAGTTCATCCTGCCGCTGAATCTTTCTGTGTTTTGAAGTTTAAAGTTGGATTTTGAAGTTTATTGGGTCTTTTATTTAATTTAATTTATTATGCTTTAAGGACACTTTTTCCCCTGTCTTTGTTTATGGATCCTAAAAAAACCCAAGAGGGCAGAAAGATGAAACTGGAGAAGCACCCTGTAAATTCACCTTTCAACCTTTACAGGCATTAATCATGCAAATATTCCCTGGATGGTGTCTGTCTTTGCTAAACAGACTTAATGTTTTTGAGACAATCCAGTAACAGATATGTATCATCTGGCCTCATGATACTTCATGTAAGTCTGGAATCTGCCAAACCTAAGATGCTTCCAGGGCTGAAAGGACCGCTCATTTGTCAGGGGAAGACTGGCAGTGTGTGTTGGAATCCCAATTAACTTCCACAGGTTTTGAAGATCTCGGCGTTCCCTCTGTCTGGCTGTCCTGAACTACAGTGGTATTTTTCCACCAACAGATACAAGAAAGAGAATTATTCCAATTTGTATTAAGCAAAATGTCACATCTGTCTTAATCAAAATCTATTCCTGTGATAAATGGAAAGTATGAAGTTTTGTGAAATTCATGGAAAATTTTGCCTAGTGTAAGCTACTCCATCCAAAAGGGATATATTAAGAAGTCTCCACATAAAGATACCACAGGAACATATCTTCCTGAATTCTTATTGCTATATTGATACAAACCCCTATAGTTCTAGAAGTAACTATATTCTATGTAATGGCATTTATACGCTTAAGTGGACAAAAGCACAAATTTGTATAGGACAAGAATACTTACTCTTACAGGAGGATCCTTTTTCTCTTCTTTGGGCTCATTCTGCAAACCAAAGACAAATCTTCATTTTTATTATTTTCTTGTCAAATAATCAAATGTTTCTCCCTCTTTTGTTCTCATTTTCTTTCTTATAGAGATCATAAGTAATTTTAAACTGAAAAATCAATTGGATATTCTGCTCCAGTAATGTCCCAGAATATAGCACTTTATTCAGAGTTTTGGCTTCTTTCATTTCATTTTAGAAAAGGAAGGAAACATGAATTATTTATCAGTGGTTGTGAGAAGCTGTATTTGCCTCTAAGGGCATATTTATACTGTGCATTCTCATCCAGCAGAAGTATATTCAAATTATGCAAGCAATCAAATCATCCTCCAAACACAGCGGATCTGGAAGCTGTGATTTCACAATAGTTTGATAACATGGGGCAGAAAATTGATGTGAAGAGCAAATTTACCCTCTTTCCAGTCAAAGTCTCTGTTAGGCATCTGAGGGATCCATACTCAGGGGCTTTCCCCACAGTACTGTGAAGAGCTACTTACATATCCCATACAATCAAAATTTAATTAACTAGAGTCAAACATTGACATGGATCAAAGGACCTGAAAAATTTGAAAAAAATGATAGGTTCAAAAATGAGTGAACAAAATCAGCAGCAGTGATTTTAGCAAGGATCCCAGAAAACATTGAAAAGCTGAGGTCCTGGAAATATCTATCACGTGTAATGTCAGAAGGATAGCTGGCATTATGGAAAAGCCAGAAAGGTGTTATTGGAAGGAATGTCTCATTTCAGAAAATACACCCGCCATGTATGTTGCGTTATAAAGTAGACTAGTATTTCCCCATTACTCATTGTCAGCTGAGCTCTTTCAATTCAGGACATGATGAAAGTCATCAGCCTTTGTTGTGAACAGGGAGGGTGCAAGTGAGTTGCCTAAACTTAGATGTATAGTGCCATTTTAGCTGCTACGGGGTATCCTGCCTTGCCTCTGACGGCCCCTCCCAAAAGGTGTGAGTTATATCTGCCATCTCCATGTAGGTACCTCTGGTACCTCCAGTAACTATAGCATGTTAAGGGGCATGGGGCACCTACTGCTCAGCTGCACGGAGCCCTGGATGTGCATTGACTGTTATGGGATGTCTGTGCTCCTTTGCAGACACCTACATTAAGGTGTCTCAGTCTGTGAGATGAATTTCACATCCACGTGTAGGAATCTACTGAACCCCACCCATTCTGGCTGCAGCATGGGAAAGAAGAGGTAACATGTATTTCTTTAAAAGAAATATTTTGATAATATTGCTTTAGTCATATGTTGTAACCTATGTGTTTATGTAAAATATTCTGAGTATTTCACACAAGATCTTACTGTCAAATTATACCAGCCAGCTGGAAAGCTACGTGTACTGCAATTGCTCCTTGAAATAGCTCCCAAGGTAGATACCGTTAATGCATGCAAGATACAAAATCCAGACAATCCAAACAGCATGCAAGCTGCAGGCCTTGTTTTGAATGGATTAATGAGTTTTAATGCTATATTGCTTTATTGCAGTTGTATATTTATGTTTAACCCTTAGATGATCTTTCCTGTAATGGTCTTATGTTGCAAATGCCTAAGGAATTGCCGCTACGGTAAGCTTCTGAGCTGTGGCTGGGAAATGGGGTAGGTAGGGAGCCCTAATTTGTCATGGCGCAGATGTTATCCACATGTGGAAATCACGTAATGGTGAAACAGGTATCCCGTGGATGGGGAAGAAGAATGCTATTTCTTGCCTCCTTGTCAAACTCATGGGCTCAAAGAATTTTCCTGCCCTTTGTCCTTGGGGGGTGTTAAAATCAGGTCCTTTAGGCTCTGAGATTTGTGGAGCAGGATTTGATACCTCAGCCTCTCTTCCTCATCATACTTGGTGGAAACCAGACATAACTCAGCTATGGTAAAGTGACACGCTCTGTGTTGTCCTGCACTTTTCCTGTGGTCACTATGGTAAATTGGTAGTGCTCTGCCTATAGTGTAGGAGAAATCCCAGCTCACTTTTGGTACATACATGTTTACATCTGAGATAGCCATCTTAGGTTTCTCTCTTATAGCCAGCGGAAAGAAAGAAGGACTTTAAGGACATGATTTGTCTGTTATCTACCTTGGAAGGAGATGGGTAACACCACATCTGACTGCAGAGAGAGTAGAGGGTAACTCACTGAAAAGCAAACGCATCCATTGTGGACGTGTACCCTGGGCCTGTGTGAACTTTCTCCTGAGTTGCTGGTATCTAATTTTTCAGAAGAGTGGTTTCTATTTCAGCACTGGTTTCAAAACGGAGGTTTGGGCAGACACTGTGTAGACAGGTGGGGGTCAGGTTGGCTCAGTCAGGCTCCAGGGGAAGGACGGCGTCTGAAAGGGGCTGCCAAGGGGCAACAGACGGCGGGAGAGGTGGTGGAGGAGGGGTGTGGAGGTTGAGGGGGGCAAAACAGTCCCACGTTTTGAAATTGAGGGTCAGCTGTGAGCTTTCCAGCATCTGCAAAATGCCGTCAGGGTGGCTGAAGCCAAGGTGCCCTGGGAAACAGGGCGAGCATGAGGGGCCCTGGCCTGGGCTGGAGGCTGTCGCCCAGGCAGCGCCCTCATTGCAGATCACAGGCTGCCATCACATGGTCATCTCCTGTGAGACATGCTCATGCAGGAGAGCATCTCAGGTGCTCTCCCAGTCTGGCTCTCTCCAACCCTCATAGCATTTCTCTGCTCTCCTCTGCTTTTCTGCTTTGCACCTCTCGGTAGTTTGAAATAAGGTCATGAGCAGTGGGATGTGAGACCAGCAGGGCTGGAGCAGGAGGACACCACAGCTTATGAGAGAGAAGTTAATAAATGAAGGAAACAGAAGTTTGCACATTATAGATATGCATGTATGTAGGTATGGTGCCAAATACAAACCAAGAATTTTTTTTTACCTTTTTTTGTATGCTAATTTCATACGCAAAACAGTTTACATTTTCCATATGACTTGTAAGGGGTGGTTGCCATGTAATTATGCAACCCGCTGGATCTCTAGTACAATTGACAGTGACATTCAATGGAGGAGTGAGTATTTCTGGAAAGAAATGAAATAATTAATGTAGACATGGTCAGTAATCAGCTACAACTCGTGTCATAGCAAAATACATGTGAAGTTGAGGCAACTGATGTACAGCTGTGTGCTACTGATGTTAACAAATGTTATCTGGTAAACAGGAGTAAAATCCAGTAGCAAAACTCAGGAATATAGCACTTCAGTTGTTGGACATCTGAAGTAACGGAAGTTCGTGTAAGAAAAGTATCAAGAATTTTGTGTAATTCAGTAGTACAATCAGCACAGTGCCATTTTCTTCTACATCTAAATTTCACACTGACAATGCAAGTCTCCATAAGAAAAAAGATGGACGTTTTTGTGCATGCAGTAGTATTTGGTTGGAATACCAAGTCAGCAGAATCTGAGTGCCTACAATACAGTTGATTAGGTGTTCCTTATGTGTCTAACTGCTGTAGTCAGCGGAGACCTCATCAGTAGTGCCCATGATGTCTGCAAAGCTGTTGGGTGTACCGTGGAGCCGGCGTGCTCAGCTGAATAGCTCTGGGCTTTACAGCCTGTATCGGCTGCAGGCAGGAGTCAGTCTCACACTGCATTTCAGACCACATAGGACACCCAGGAGGACCCTGGTCTCTCACAAGTCCTGGGCCACATCCGCAAGCCTTGTGGATGCCTCAAGCGTCTGAGGGTGTCTCAAATGGCACTAGAGGCATGTTTTTAGGCAACTGAATCCTGTCCCAGATCTCTATCGGAGCTTAAACACCTAGCTCACACATAGGTACCCACATATTTAACAAATGCAGTCTTAGTTTGCAAGTTGAACCCTCCCTCTAGTTTCAGGACACGTAGCTCTTGTGGCTCTCAGAGAGGTGTGGAATTAAGGGATGGCAAAATGAGCCCATCAGAAAGGTGGCCTTGAAAGTCTAACCATTGTGTTTCATTCCATGGATATGTTCACACCACTTCTCTGAGCCATTGTTTCAGGCTGTCTCTGCCTTTGGTTGTTTTAGTTAATTTTTGGAACTATATTCTGTCAGCTATCAGGAGTAAAGTCTGTCCTGCAGTGCAGGATCCTGTGATGGCTACAGACTTTGTTTTATTTTTTTTTTTTCTTCAGAGAAAAATTCCCCATTTCCTTATTTTATAAACCAGTAATAAAATAAAAATGTTCACTTACCAATTTTATACAGTTCAATGTACTCATCATAGAACTGGATCAGGGAGTCTTTGCTAGACCCGTTCACCAGGAAGTAAGCTTCTTCAGCCTCTATCTTCACATTTTGGAATCTACATCCCGTGTTTCTGCCATTTTCATCTTTAATGTAAAGCTCACATTCCATTGCATCATCATATCTGTATATAGCAAGGTATTTTAGTTAAACGTGGGCAGTGTGATGTGTTGAATGAGACTTCAGACTTCCCTAGATTCAAGCAGACCTACTTACCTCGTGTTCTTCCAGTAGAGAAAATATTGGGTATCTCCTGGAGCATCCCTGCCTGCCCGCCAAGTGCAGTTCATGAAGGAAATGTTATAAATCATGCAGGAGAAATTTTCAATGGCCGACCCATTCATGCCTGCAAACACAAGGATATCTGTGATGAGGAAAAATTGTGTGACTGCTCCAAGCTGGAGGATCTTGGCACACGCTTAGATATGTGAGACACCTGCAACTCCAGCTGGTTATTGCTTGGGTTAGGCATTACAACTGAGAGAAAGCTGTACTCTCACCCTATTTTGACTGCCTCTGAACTGTGAAACCTGGGAGTGAGTAGAGCATTCACACAGGTAAAGGCAGGCACATTGCCTTTTAACACCATCCTTGGTGCTACAGAAAGAAGTATTTTTCCTTTTAAAATTAATGCTCAGGAATCCATTCCTGAAGTGCTTACACACAGCATTTAAAAAGCTGGGACTTTTGAAAAGTAAGGTGGGGCCCTCTGGTCAGATAGCCTGCTAGCTAGAGCTTTCCACCTTGATGTGGGTGACAGAGACTTGATCTCTTCCTTTTCTGGGGCACATTGAAGTGGGAACCTCATTTTTTTGGAAGCTCCCTCGTGGCTGGGCTGTGCTGGCATGCTCAGCCTCCTTCTCTCTTCTCCTTCAGCCAATTTTCTGCTTCTTTCTGCGGTGTGCCCCAACTTCAGCGGAAGGGTGGAGGCTTCCTCTGCTGCTGCCTCCAGCCCCCTCCAGCGCCCAGTATTGAGGGCACCCTTGTGGAAGCAGGGGGGAATCCCCTGGGGAACCTGCATGCTTGGAGGCTAGGGCTAGCTGGGGAGGAACACCAAAAGCAAGAGGTTAAAACCAGACACACCCCCAGAGGCAGCATGTCCTGGCTTGTATTTTGAGGGTCACGGTAAGAGTGTTTCCACTGTCAAGTCCCCAGGAAAAGATGAGTAGGGAGTACTTTCTCTGCTCAGATATGAGCAAGCTGCTAATCTCATCACCTCTGTCAAGTCTGAAATACCCCAGTTACAGACAGTTGCAGGAGCACTGTTGACTGGGCAATTTTAGTGGAGAACTCTGAGTTCAGAAGGAAGGGGAAAACGAGCCATAAAAACTTCAGGTTTGGAATTACGAACCTAGGATCTGCCTAAATCCCACTTTGATTAACTCCCACATCGGGCAGCCTCAGAATATCTTTGTAAACAGTTGCCTCAGCTTAGTGGGTGCACAGCAGCTGAGAGAACCCACATATATGTGTGTGTGTGTGTGTGTGTGTGTGTGCACATGCTTGCCGGGGCCAGGTTAGGAGATTGCTACATTCAGTTTGCCCCTAGCTGCTTATCACCGACATTTCCTTTCCTCTCCTCCCATTTTATGGGTTTCACTGACCCCCAGACTGTGCCTTTAGCTAGCTCTGTGGTCTGGCTCCTGATAAACTCACCAACAGCCCAGCAGAAAAGCATTTAATACAGAAATGGGAGCTAACATCTTTATTTGTAACAGCCAGAACAGTTATTTGAATCCACCCTTAAACCACTCTAATGTAGTGGCATTTTGGAGCCTGAGTATGAAAGAGAATAATGTAATTACTTATACATTTGTAGTAATGCATCTCTTGCAGAATTGTGGAAACACTCATTACAGAGCAAAAAACTTTAGCAGATCTGCAAAAAATCATTTTTAATAGAAAATAAAGCAGTTATCTACTGTGTAAGGAATTGTTTTCTAAGGCAATGTTTACCTTTAAAAGACTGCAAATGAAGAAAACCTTACCCAGATCATAGACATTACCTCCAGGGATAAAGGTGCAGGTTTTTGAGATGTTTGTGTTTGGCACTTCAATGCTAAAGAATACCCCTTTGTGCAGAGGCATGTATAGTTCCACTGGAAACCTGCATAGTGGACTATTCACCTGAAAAAGAACATGTTGATGTTTTATTTCTCTGTTTTTCCTCTGCATGTGTTAGGTGATGCTGGCTATGGAAGTGCAACTCAGAAACTCAATTCTTAGGGCCAAAATCTTGTGTGTGTATATGTATGTATTTTAGATTCAAGAGCTAACTCTCTCCTTTACCATTTGAGGGTGATGTAGAATGGAGCTGAGTGATCAAAAGCATAACTACACAAAAAGCTTTGCAGCTCAGGAGCTGGATGCTACGCTAGTGTGCAACTATTAGAGAAGGCTAATTGTACCCCAGTGGCATAACAGAAGATGGATAATAAATGGATGAACCACAACAGAATTTAATCAAAGGATTAAGCAAGATAGAAGTCCTTGTCTGACTTCCCCAGGGGTCAGAAAGGTGTCTATGGCATTATAAAATCATAGAATCCTAGAATAGTTTGGGTTGGAAGGGACCTCTAAAGGTCATCTAGTCCCACCCCCCCCGCCATGGGCAGGGATATCTTCAACTAGATCAGGTTGCTCAGAGCCCCCTCTAACCTGACCTTGAATGTTTCCAGGGACGGGGCATCCACCACCTCTCTGGGCAACCTCTTCCAGTGTTTCACCACGCTCACGGTAAAAAATTTCTTCCTTACATCTAGTCTCAATCTACCCCCCTTTAGTTTAAAGCCATTCCCCCTTGTCCTGTCACAACAGGCCCTGCTAAAAAGTTTGCCCCCATCTTTTTTATAAGCCCCCTTTAAGTACTGATACTTATAATCTTCAACAAAGATGTGATGTGTTTTTGTAATATGTATTTCTAATTAAGGCATCTGCTTTGCTAGGCTAAATAAGCCATCTCTATCCCTCTTTCTGTCAAGCTTCCTACTTTTCTTCTTGGATAATGTGGACTTATAACCTGTGCTACAGTCATGATCCAATTTACTGGGAAACAAATGAAGAACTTGAGATAATGAAGATCCACGGCAGTGTTTGGGGAATTCACTTTTTATTTGAAGGGTCTCTTGCTCTGTCTAGATTCTCTAGGAGTCTCACTTAGTCTCACAGACCCTTTTTTCAGCAGCTGCATCCCTATTCATGATTCAGCGTAGGTACAGTTCAGGCTATTGCCTCCTTTCCACTTTGGTGCCAGAACTTCAGTTCTGTGGTATGCACAAGGATGCTCCTCCTGCAGCAAATGCACCCTGGCATTGGTGATGGCTTTCCACAGCCCCTAACAGATCAAGCTGTAGACTACAAACAATCACTGATCAGATTTTACCTGCAACTGATTCATTTTTTTCAAAGTAAATGAAATCGATAAAAGGAAAAGAAAAAGGTGCAATTATTGATCTCAACAAATAACAAGCTTACCTCTTTCGGCATACTTCCCATGTCCCTGACCATGATGGTACATTTGTACTTAGAGAAATTCTTGCTGCTGTCCCAGGACAGTTCCATTTTTCTCCAATTCATTTTCACATTCGTAATAGGTGATCCTTGTGCTTCTGCTGAAAGTGTTACAGAATAAGTTCAGTACGGATATGCTATTGTTTTTGTTGAATGCAGAGAATAGTATCTGTCAGGCTTAAGATGGCAATTGCCAGATTAACTGCAAATATCTCTGATAAATGAAGAATTAAACCCTGTTTCTCAGATTCTATCTGCAAAACATACTTACACCCCATACACTGGATGTCAGCATGCAAGGGGTGAAACAGCATCGTGCACCACCAAATCACGCAAATGAGTCCAAGAGTATAAAACATCTTTTCTTCTCTGGAAAGAGACAATGAAGCCTTCAGGAAAAAAAAAGAAAAGGAAAAAAAAAGTGATGCCCAAGTGTACTTTGGTTTCTGCAAAGCTTCATTTTTTTTCATGGGAAGAGTCAAAGGTGCTGTCTAATTCATCCCTAGAAAATATTCTTTAGAAAAGCAGAGCAGAGGCTGTGCTTCAGGACTTCTGTCAGGCACCTCTGCTTTGGAAGAACTGAGCAGGCTCACTGTTGTCTGTTACAACACAGCAGTTTGAGACAGAGAGGCCACAAGCCCTCGTTATGATACATACACTCACTGTATTCGGTGCAGAGACCATGACTTAGGATTGCTGTTGCCCCACAGATCTATCCTAACCATACCATCAGAAAGTCAGGTTTTCTTGCTTTCTGATCCTGTGAACATCACTGCATATTTTCCTATGCAGTGCTCTGGCTTCTGCTGCAAAGTGAGCATTTAGTCTGGCTTTCAACCATTTGTTGAAGGCACCTTTCGGGAAGTGGATGGTTTGGCTTTTGGTTGTGTCGGGGTGTGGATGACTCACTTCTCCGTGAGTGCTCTGTTAAAGGCAGCGTCACCACCAGGCATGTTCAGAGCCTGTATCTATCAATTTCAGAGCTATTTTCTATCATCTTTTCTTCTTTTCTTTTCTGACCACAGATCAGCCAAGAACAGCTTTCCATGCAGAAAAGTACCTTAGGAGCTGGAATTTTGATGGGCCTTTCCAAAGGCCATTTAGCACTGGATACCCCTGGATTCAGCTGCTTTTCCATTTTCCTGAATATCCCCAATAGCAGCATTTATCACAAACTTGATGACACTTCTGTCAGTTCCTGACTAACCTGAGTGATTTTTTCCATCTCTCACTTCTCACTTCTTTTCACAGAAAACTGAATATACTAAAGAATCCCAGTTGTTAGGTGTAATTTACTGTATATCACTATTAAATAAGATACTTTTTTTTATGCTTTCTTTGTTATTATTTGTTTTGGGTCCAGAAATTGTTGACTCTTACTGTGGGCATTATTAAACTTTGAGGATGTTTGCTCTGTAATGAAAATATGATGCTAGCTCATACAATATGTCCACAATAATTTTAAACTAATATAACTACAGTGATGCACAATTGAACTTGGACTATAAAATATACTTCAGAGGAGAGGAAAAAATGCTGAACCTGCTTAAAGCTATTTTAGAGAATGCGACTCTCAAGTCTTCATGTACAGTTCATTTGAACAAAGATTTACATAATTACAACCAGTGTACACCTTCAGTCTTGGTATTCTGGTCCTCTGCACCTACAACTTTCTTTCTGTAAGTTGTCAACATTTTCTAGAACCTACTTCTGTCTTTGTGTGTTTTTCAGTCCAATGTCCTGAAATGAGATAGTGTATGCTAACGATCCCTTTCAACAAGGAATGCTACAAAAGACGAGATATTTTTCAGTGTTTCTTTCCTTCCATTATGTCTTGATAATGAAACAGAACTATTAGCATAACTGTGGATATCCTGTGTGGGATGAATTTTGATATTAAGACATCTAAAAGTATCTACAAGTTAGTATTCACATAAGCGCAAGTTGTTTAAGCTCCCATTATAGTCAATGGAGATCTGGTTGAATTCCATTCACTGCTTCTGGTACACATAAATAGTTTCTCACTACTTGTTTTAAAGCCTTTGACTATTGCTATATAGCAGTCTTATTAATCTTTTTAGTATCTTCCTATTTTTTTATATATTTGATTTTCTGTTTCCCTCTGCTGTGTTTATTTGATTTGGAAGTCTTTTTCCTAAAGGCTTTTTTTTAAGCAGCAACCAAATCTTACACCTGGTCAGGTTTCTTTTGCCTACTTTTTTCTTTTCTTGTCTCTCACAGAGTGTGTGAGTATTGTCTCTGGTGAAGCAGTGTACAGACCATGTGTAGGAGGCTCTGCCTCCCCTTCCAGGCTGTGCGAGTGTAGGAGAGGGTTGGCACTGTTGCCTGGTTCAAGAAGGTAGATCGTGGTTGTGCTTTCATGTGTTGTCCTTCTCTAGCTTAAGAAACACTTGGTTCTGGCTGGGCTGGAGTTAACTTTCCTCAGAGCAGCCCATGTAGTGCTGTGCTTTGTATTTGTAGCTAGAACGGTGTTGATAACACACCAACGTTTTGGCTGTTGCCGAGCAGTGCTCGTGCAGCATCAAGGCTGTCTCTCCCACCCCACCCCACCCACCCCACAAAGTCTGGGGGTGGGCAAGAGGCCAGGAGGGGACACAACTGGGACAGCTGGCCCAAACTGACCAAAGGGATATTCCATACCATATGACGTCATGCTCAGCAATAAAAGCTGAGAGAAAGGAGGACGGGGTGGGAGGAGGCATTTGTTCTTAAGGCATTTGTCTTCAGTAGCAACTGCTGTGCGTACTGAGGCCCTCCTTCCCAGGGAGTGGCTGGATATCGCCTGCTGATGGGAAATAGAGAATAAAGAAGAGGGGGAGTGAGAGAGCGGCTTGGTTGGCACCTGGCAGCCAGCCAAGGTCAAACCACCACAGTATTTTGTTCCTTTTTGCTATCACAAATGGCTCTCCATTTTTCAAACTAGATTAAATCCCTCTGTTCTTAGAGGTTTACATCCCTCACCCCAGAACAGTCTGCTTCAAATTTTTGCTTCTTGCAGTGTCAGAAACTGAGGAGTAAGATGTTACAGATCACTGTAGGAAATTTAAATTACTAAGAAAGTGTGAGTACCTGCAAAGGGTGACTCCACATTCATGCATGTGGTGTGAAGGTCTGAGCAGAGCTAGTCAAACATTGGCATCAGCTCTTGTCAAGCATATCTGGATCTTAGGTACCATTTTCCTTTTCTTAGAGGAAGTTAAAACTCTTTGGAAGAGACTTGTGTATTCCCACCATTTGTTTTTCTGGTTTTTTTTTCTACATGAAAAAACAATACTAGTTAATGTTTGTTTTGTTTTGTTTTGTTTTGTTTTAGTATTTCCTAGTAGTGTAACTTCCTAGTAGAAATTTTCTTGATTGCAGGTATTTCTAAGGTTAATTCTAAGACTGTGAGGTGAATTCTTACAAACTCAGGAAAAAGAGAAACATGGTAATATTTTGTTGCTTGTCTGTCCTTCTATATTAATTTTTATGGTCATTTCAGAATGCTGATTCCAGACTGACTCCATCTGTGGTGAAAGCAAAAACCCAGCCAGGCCCTCCAAGCAAGCTGTTGAATATTTCCAGGAGGGACCGTACATTTCATGGAAATTGGCTTGATGTGATTCGTGTATCATGGTCTCCAGGAATCAAGCCAGGACAGGACACCATGTCGGGGTTGCAACAGAGGCAGACTCTTCACTGTAGCCTGATTCTTCTCTGCTTATCTCTTGCAGCATCAACTTTTCTTTGTAAATCATCATGCTACAGTAAGGATGTGGCCACAGCTGCTGGGAACTGATACTGAAGAATCTTAAGTACAAACAGTATGGAGGACTGGCCATGAAATGCTGTGTGAGATATTGGTCTCAACAGTTATTTCCACTTTCCCATGCTCTCACTGATCTCTCCAGTAATGCACATAGGAACCTCGAGACCTTTTGTCCTTCTAGTCTGCCCCTTTTCATATAACCATATTTTTCTCCATTTTGTGCCATCTGTCCAGTCACTCTTAACCTTTTCTCCTCCCTTTCCTCATCCTACGTTCCTTTTTAGGCATTTATCTTCTTCTTCTCTAGCAACCGTCTGCTCACCTTTTCTTTATAGTCTTTGCTTCATTCTTCTTGTCATCTCCCTCTGTCTGCTCTCATGACTGCTCTGCTTTCAAAATCTCCATCAGGTTTCCTACACATGACAGCAGCCCCATGCTGCAAGAACTCTCCATGTTTTCTCATGGAAATGCTTGTCTGGAGCACTGCCAGAGGAGTCATCTGCAGCCCTGCCTGCTTAGAGGAGAGCTTGCTTGGCACCATTGCCTCCAGGCTCTGGATGTGTCATTGGGCTTGCAGTGGGAATAGCAGGGCCTGTAAGTGTTCACTTTCCTCATAAGAAATGACCATTTCCATTGGCCAAAGCACTAAGAGGGTTTGCTTCTCAAAGGATTTGTGTTTCATAGTTGACTGACTTTTAAAACAAATTACACAAGAAAGAATTAGTGTTGAGTTGTGCCTATGTTCTCTCTATTGCCCCAGCTGAAGGTGCCAACACATAGCCAGGTCCCCTGGCTTTTCTCTGACCTGCAGGCAGGATAAAAGATATAGGAGCTGTGGCGAGCCCTAAGCCATTTGCCTGACCCATCCACACCTTCTGCCCAGTGGCCAAACAAATGGCTCCAGCACCACATCTGTAGGAGCTTTGTGTCTCCAGGACATTCACCCTCTCCCAGACTGGTCTTTTGCAGACAGGTGTGGTAAAACTCCCTCTGCTCTGAACAGACCTCAGTATTGAAGGTGTCAGAAGGAACACATACTTATGTCAAACTGGTTGGGCATGTTATTTGGAGGATCAGACCAGAAGAAACATATATATTCTCATGTAAGTGGTATTTCATTAATATAAGAGATAATATAGAATCTATTAGGATGAAAATCCCCATCCTTAACTCTATGATTGTTTCTGCTTTGCTTCTTTCCTTTTTCTCTCCTGGCCAGCCTCATAAGTGTCTTGACCTCTCAGCGTGTGTCTACCCTGATACATAGGGGAGGGCCTCAGAGAGGACTCAAGCACCTGGTTTCCACACTCCTCAATTCTTAGCTCACTCCATAGCGCTCTCCAATACAGATTTGCTATAAACCTAATCTATCCACCTAAGCTATGTGAATATGAGCCAGCCAGTGACACTCGGCCTTGGAGCTTTCTTTTATTTAGAGGTATGTGTATAGCCTGTATGTTTAAGTTTTTCACTAGCAAAATCTTATTAAGGAAAACATTGCTAAACTTATTATCTAATGTTATCAGATGTATGCTGTGTCTCACTCAGCAGTAGTGATCATATGCCTGCTAAGCTGGATGCTAGCAAACA